GTAAATTGTAAGAAATTAATTTAGTTTTTTAGAATTTCCATGAGGTAAGTGAAAGTGGGTGCTAACCAAATCTACCGTAGAAATACTAAAACAATGTGACAGTGACCAAGATTACATAGGCCAATAGAGTAGCCAGCAAGCATATAAGATCAGATCTTGTATGTGTTAGGTGGGATGCCCAGTTCAGCAGAACCCTTCTGTCCAATCAAGCACCATGATAGCATCTCCTCCATTGCCAGCATAAGTCTGTTTTTTGGTGAATCACATTTTGCAAGAAATTTTTAACTGGAGTAGTATTTAAACTATTGCAATTAAATTTGCCTGAGATACAGCAAGGTCAAGTGAGCCAAAAGGATCTGGACATCAGCAGAGGCAATGAGACAAGATCACAACACAGCCAGCAGCTCCAGCTACAGGGAGCTTGAAAGCAGCTTGATTAGGCAGTAATACAATTTACAGTGTATTATGTCAGAGAAAACCAAAAACTTGGCACAGACATGCTGCACCTCATGGAAGCAATTTTACTAGACCACAATGGAAGAGGGAGAGATTGATGGGGAAATAGCATATTGCATACAGTATTTCATAATTAATGTTGGCCTCACAAATGTGTAAGAATGCCTCCAAACCTTGGTTAAAGGGCTATACAAAGACAAAGTCTGATTACCTTAAATAACAAAGGAATGTGGGGGAGTGGCTTAGCTATGGCGGTGTGAGGACAATCCGAGGCTGAGCTCAGTACCGAGATGGGGGTTATCTTTGCATTCCGCTGCTTCCATTAGCCCTATTTACCCATGCCGAAATGAGGTAAGCCTTTGGACTCATCCGGCATGCCCTCCCAACAATATATCACCCGCTACCTATCTGTCCAGGGAGATTCAGACACTACCGCAAGCTTCATCATGGTGCATTCCCTCTACTCGCATGCTGCAGTCGTGGCCCCTTCTACGGCCCGATCGGCTCCAAACACCACACCTGAGGGACCACATTCTCCCATCTGTACCCCTATGCTGCCACGGAAGGATGCCATGGAGGATTCTAATGGGTCCAGGAGCCCTACATCACTGTACTTTACCAGGGAGTGGGATATTCGCCAGCTCCTCCAGGCACTCCCCACAAAAGGAGACATTCAATTGATGCTTGACCAACTAACAGGGACATTACAGGGGGAGATTGCTGCGTTAAGATCCACTACCTCGGGGGCTACTCAAAGGCTGGAGGCCTTGGAGAACCATTGAGAGAATGCTGACTCCAGACTCACTAGGCTGAAGACCTTGTTCCACTGCCAGCGTCAAACCTACTCACCCTGCAATTGCAGCAGGAAGACTCTGAGAACCAGAGTAGACGGAACACTGTCAGGCTCAAGGGCATTCCAGAGGCCACTGTCGGTAAAGACCTGAAAACCACAGTTCTAAGTATCTTTAATATTTTATTACGCAACCCTACTGACACTCATATTGAGTTGGACCTGGTCCACCGGGTTCCGGCATATCTTTCACCTATTCAGCTGGAGCCTAGGGATGTGTTGTGTAGGGTACATTTTTACGCTGTCAAGGAGCACATACTACTTGCTGCCTGGCATAGGGGGCCTATGGACTTTGATGGTGCTTCTGTTCATCTTTATCCGGATCTATCCCCGCAAACACTATATCGCCAAATGAGACCTCTGCTTGTCCTGGTAAGAGAACAAGGGGCGACTTACAGATGGAGTTTTCCCCGGTCACTCATAGTCAAAAAGGACAGTCAAGACACCTCCCTACTCAGCTGCAACAGCTATTCAGCTATTTCAATTCTTGAATTGCGAATCTGTAGTGGTCCCTGACTAGCTGGACCTCCCTGAGCCCCCGGAAGCTATCTCTGGTCGTCATCCGCAGCCTCAAAGACGAAGACACCCGTGCTCTCGACGCACAAGTGCTACCTCCATTCATCAGGATCCAGCGGGTAGAGAGGACTGACCTCTGAGACTGATGTCCATGGATGACTTGGTCATTGCTGTGACTTGGACACCTGATAGTTGATTCACCTAGGCTGCAGAGTTGTCAGCTCAAAGAAGTTGAATACCCTTCAGAAGGTTACTAAGACGGCATCGCTACGGTATCTGGCTTGGTTTGACATTTCTGCTCATTTTATTTGTCTATGGTTTGACATAAGATTTTATGTTCCATGCAACCAAGGGAGTGCGTTTCCTCCTCTAGCTCCCTCAGCTTCCCCTGTAGGGGGATGTCTCCTCCCATCTGGGGCATTTGTTGCTCTGGGGGGCTCGATGAGGAATGGCTATCCCAGGTACATTGCTTTGTTGTTTAATGTTTTCCCAAATTTTTTATGATTACTGTGATGGACATCCATAGGGTTGTGGCCTTTCAGCCCCAAACAATTGGGATATTTTGCTGTTTTTCAAGGTCTCATGCAGAGTCTCTGCTCTACCTTCCCCTCAGCATCTGGCTGATGAGGTGGACATCTGCCGGGATGATAGTCTGGGCCTTCCTCTGCCTTGTCTTGCCTTAAGTTTTGAGGGGTTCCTGGTTCCTAGTACTAGACCTCGCAGTTGGAGTTTTCTGCCTGACTTTAGACCTGGTAGCTGTTGGGGTCGTTTGCTGGTGACCTGGAACTCTAACTTCCCTTTTCTTCTCCTCCCCACCCTCTATCTTTTCCTTTCCCTCCTCTCTCTCCTCATACCCAACTCCTCGTTACCTCTCCTCCCCCCTTTTTTAGTTTTTCCTTGTCTTTCTTTTTTTTTTTTTTTTTTTTTTATTTAAATATTTATTGATTTTCTAATAAATAAATCATACAAACATACTCTTTTAAAAACATTGACACATTTTCAATACATTTATTGTATCATCTTTTCTACCCCCCTTACACCCCCTCGCCCTTCCATCTGCATCTCATCCCACCCCCCACCCCCTCCGCTCTGCATTTTCCTATTCCTTTCTGGAGATCCACATCCTCCAAAAGAGAAGAGAAAAGTATAACCATATTGTTTTATATTATATTATCCCCCATACATTCTATATATAACTTTGACTTTTTGAATTTTTTAAATCCTCCCATTTGTTCCATCTTAAATAATAACTCTCCATCTTATCCTCATTTCATATGGTATAGTCCCTCCATCTTACATATTTGATCCACCTATCAACCCAGTCCTCTATTTTCGTCACCTCCGCCAAAACATGGGTATCAAGCCCTTTGCTGCTGTCAGGAATGGACTGGCCAGCAATAGTAGGACTCAGCTGCCTTATGAGCTGCAGTACCAGGGCTGGCCAGCGGGTGCTCCCAGCAATCAGAGACTCAACCTTGCAGCCAGTCAAGCTCTCTGTTCCTGTCTGATTCTCTGCTGACCCTGCTCTGATCCCTGGCTTGTCTGACCATTCTCCTCTGCCTGACCCTCTGTACCACGCTGCCCGCTACCTGCTGAACCTGGCCTGTGACCCCGACCATTCTCCGCTTGCTCCCCCTGTACCTACCTGCCCGACTGATATTGACCCGGCCTGCCTGACAACGCTTGCATTGTATGTACTGTTATCTGTGGGTGGTTGGTTTGGTTCGTTTGCACTGTGTTATGTTTTAGTATTGCACTGCGTTTATGTTTGTATGGTTAGTGTTAATAAATTACATTGTTTATAACATATCTGAAGTCTGCATTTCCCTGCGTCAGTCACACACCTCTGGTCATACCCGGGAGCCCTGACATTACACCAAGGCCAATCCTGACCAGAAGTGGCTGCACAGGGAAGCCATCTTGGCTTGTTGATGGGAAGGATGGATCTGGATGAGGTTGCGTATTTATATCTGCTAGTGTTTGATGACAGGGAGTATGCTTATCAAACTCTGAAGGAGTATACCCGGGATGAACTGCTAGAATGTATACGGCTCGCTCATGTTCTAGTAGATCAGGGCACAGAGTTCTCTGAGGTGCAGCCTTTGATTGAGGTTTGTGCTGAGTTGGTTTCATCTGGTACCCCCGAATGCAGGGATGAATTTTTGCCACCATTTAGTGCAGACCAGGTAGAGTCCCTGGTGTGGTTATTAGAGGATGATGTGGGTTACTTTCTGGAGCGTTATTCCACATGTTCACCACAGACACTAAGAGATTGTATAAACGCAGTGCAGTCTTTGGTCAGACAGGCTTTGTGTAAGCTCAGCTTTGTTCAACCCATACTGCAGACATGGACAGACTTGTTGCACCCAGCCTCAGTCAGCTTACAAAAACCCAGTCCTGCTTCTAATCTATTTCCTCAAAACTCTATTCCTGCATTCCCAACAGCTCCTCCTGCCCTGCTATCTACCGCATGTCAGTCCCCTGTTCCCACTCGCTGCACCTATCCTGCCTTTAACCCTGTAAAAAAGCCCTCTGTAGCAACTGCTCCCTCTCCTGTTCCATCCTCCAGTTCTTCTCTGTCTCCAGCTGCTCCATTCGTTTGCAGACCTGCGTTTACTTGCAGTGCTCCAGTAGTTAAAACCAGAAAAAAAGCGAAAATTCTTTCCAACCAATACCATCCTGCCAGTATCCAAACCGGTGAACCTGCCTTCCGTGGTTCAGCCTGAAGCCTCTACTCAGCCTGAATCCTCTACTCAGCCTGATGCCTGTACTCAGCCTGATGCCTGTACTCAGCCTGATGCCTGTACTCAGCCTGATGCCCTCTACTCTGCCTGATGCCTCTACTCAGCCTGATGCCTCTACTTCAGCCTGATGCCCTCTACTCGGCCTGAAGCCTCTACTCTCAGCCTGAAGCCTCTACTACTCGGCCTGAAGCCTCTACTCGGCCTGATGCCTCTACTCGGCCTGATGCCTCTACTCGGCCTAATGCCTCTATTCGGCCTGATGCCTCTACTTGGCCTGATGCCTCTACTCGGCCTGAAGCCTCTACTCGGCCTGAAGCCTCTATTCAGCCTGAAACCTCTACTCAGCCTGAAGCCTCTACTCAGCCGGACGCCGGCATTCAGCCTGATGCCTCTACCCAGCATGATGAACTGATCCAGCCTGACGATCCTATTAGGCCAGTTGACTGCCCCGATGCCCGCTGTTGATCCAGATGATCCGGTACCTGACCCGGTGCCCGCTGTCGTGCCAATTGACTCAGAGCCCGCTGTCGTACCTGGTGACTCGGTGCCCACTGCCTTGCCAGATGACGCGGTGCCCGCTGGCGAGCCAAATGACCTGATGCCTGGTGACCCAGTGCCCGCTGTCATACCTGGTGACCCGATGCCCTTTGGCCGTGATGGCTCCTCACCTTCCTTGCCCATGACCCCACGGTGCCCACTGCTGCTCATGACAACAGGACGCTGGCCTTTAGATGACTCACCAGGTCCCCTCGCCTCTTACACCTAGATGACCGATGCCCCTCAGTTAATATGCCAAATGAAAACTCACATAGTGTAACCCTGTTTATTCATAAGCCAGTGACTCGACCCAAAATTGCCCACGCGGTGCCCTCACATTTAGAATCGTCTTGTAACATGCCTTCAGTACCCCATGCCTATGAAGCCAGGGATATTCATAGCATGGGGTACTGAAGGCTTGTTACAAGACGATTCTAAATGTGAGTGGGCAATTTTTATCTTATATCTACTGATTGAATAAACAGGATTACACTATGTGAGTTTTCATTTGCATATTAACTGAGGAGGAGATCGTTATTAGAGTGTAAGAGGCGAGGAAGGACCTGGCGAGTCATCTAAAGGGTGTCCTGTTGTTGAGCGAGCTGACCCTGTGGGGTCTGGGCAAGGACTCGGTGAGGAGCCATCAGCCACGGCCAAGTTTGGATTCACACAGTGTGGACACGTGTGACACATGCATGAAGATTGCTAGTGACCTGATGCCATTTGGACACTTTGCCATTGATTTCGGATTTTTATTTTATTTATTTATTTTTTTTATTTTTTATTATGCATAATAGATGATTGGAGTGATTTATTGCACTTTGTCCCGCCAGACCAATTGCACTTTATTTTCACTTTGAAGCACATGGTTGCCCGCACTATCTTAGTTTATGATGCACCTGTGTATATGCACTATCCCATATGTTCAGTAGTGTGTATTTTATGTAGAATATTTTAGTTAAGTGTGCACTATCGCCATTGCTATTAATTTCGGATGCCCGCTATCAGTTTTAGGGAGGCGCTGCACTTTATATTTACCTTGTCACGCTTTGCCTAAAGGAGTTTTGTGCCAGCTGCTGGCTAAATAGGGCCCCATTTTTAGCGCAGGAAGTTCTGCCGCACTATTGATACCTGGTGACCCGATGCCCGCTGTCGAGCCAGACGATCCAATGCCCCTGGTGACCCGGTGCCCACTGCCTTGCCAGATGACGCGGTGCCCCCGCTGGCAAGCCAAATGACCTGATGCCCTGTTGACCCAGTGCCCGCTGGCCCATACCTGGTGACCCGATGCCCGCGGTCCGAGCCCCGATCCAATGCCTGGTGCCCCTGACGGTGCCCACTGCCTTGCCAGATGACGCGGTGCCCGCCAAATGACCTGATGCCTGGTGACCCTGGGGTGCCCGCTGTCAGGGCCTGGTGACCCGATGCCCGCTGTCGAGCCAGACAATCCGGTACCTGATGACCCGGTGCCTGTCTGTCGTGCCTGTTGACTCGGAGCCCACTGCCTTGCCAGATGCCGCGGTGCCCGCTGTCGAGCCAAATGACCTGATGCCTGGTGCCTCGATGCCCGCTGTCCAGCCAGACGCCCAATGTCTGCCCCAGTGCCCGCCTGGGTCATGCCAGTTGACTCGGAGCCCACTGCCTTGCCTGATGACGCCCGTGCCCGCCCGCTGTCGAGCCAAATGACTGATGCCTGGTGACCCGATGCCCGCCTGTCCAGCCAGACGATCCAATGTTTGACCCAGTGCCAGCGGCTCCATGCCAGTTGACTCGGCGCCCCTGTCGTGCCTGGTGACTCGGTGCCTGCCGCTTCCGCCTGGGGGCCCGAGACCTGTCGCTCCCGCCTGGGGGTCCGGCGCCCGCCGCTCCGCCTGGGGGTCCTGCCCGCCGCCCCGCCTGGGGGCCTGAGCCTGCCGCTCCGCCTGAGGGCCTGAGACCTGTCGCTCCGCCCTGGGGGTCCGGCGCCCGCCGCTCCGCCTGAGGGCCCGAGACCTGTCGCTCCACCTGGGGGGGGCCCGGCGCCCCGCCTGTCGCTCCGCCTGGGGGCCCGAGACCTGTCGCTCGCCCGCCTGGGGGCCCGAGACCTGTCGCTCCGCCTGGGGGCCCGGCGCCCGCCGCTCCGCCTGAGGGCCCGAGACCTGTCGCTCCGCCTGGGGGTCCGGCGCCCGCCGCTCCGCCTGAGGGCCCGAGACCTGTCGCTCCCTGCCTGGGGGGTCCGGCGCCCGCCGCGCCCGCCTGAGGGCCCGAGACCTGTGGCTCCACCTGGGGGCCCCGGCGCCCGCCGCTCCGCCTGGGGCCGAGACCTGTCGCTCCATCTGGGGGTCCGGCGCCGGCATGCCGCCCGCCCTCCGCCTGGGCCCGAGACCTGTCGCTGCCCCTGGGGGTCCCGGCGCCCGCCTGCGCTCCGCCTGGGGGCCCGATGCCTGTGCCCTGCTCCCCGTCTGGGGGCCCGATGCCTGTTGCCCCGCCTGGGGGCCCGATGCCTGTCGCCCCCCTGGGGGCCCGGCGCCCGCCGCTCCGCCTGGGGGCCCGATGCCTGTTGCCCCCGCCTGGGGGCCCAATGCCTGTCGCCCCGCCGGGGGGCCCGACGCCTGTCGCCCCGCCTGGGGGCCCGATGCCTGTCGCCCCGCCCTGGGGGCCCATGCCTGTCGCCCCGCCCTGGGGGCCCGATGCCTGTCGCCCCTCCTGGGGGCCCGGCGCCCTGCCGCTGCCCACCTGGGGGCCCGATGCCGGTCGCCCCGCCTGGGGCCCCCCGTGCCGTGTCGCCCCGCCCGGGGGCCAGCCCGATGCCTGTTGCCCCGCCCGGGGGCCCGTGCCCTGCTGCCTCTGCCCGGGGCCCGGTGCCTGCTGCTGCCCGCCCGGGGGCCCGCTGCCTGCTGCTGCCTCCGCCTGGGGTCCAGCCCGGTGCCTCTGCCCGGGGGGGCCCGGTGCCTGCTGCCCCGCCCGAGGGGGCCCGATGTGCCTCTGCCCGCCTGGTGGCCCACTGCCCGATGTGCCTCTGCCCGGAGTCCCCGATGTGCCTCTGCCCGGAGTCCTGCCCAATGTGCCTCTGCCCGGAGTCCTGCCCGATGTGCCTCTGCCCGGAGTCCAGCCCGATGTGTGCCTCTGCCCGGTGTGCCCTGCCCGATGTGCCTCTGCCCGGAGTCCAGCCCGATGTGCCTCTGCCCGGAGTCCAGCCCGGTGTGCCTCTGCCGGTGTGCCTCTGCCCGATGTCCGATGTTCCTCTGCCCGGAGTCCAGCCCGATGTGCCTCTGCCCGGAGTCCAGCCCGATGTGCCTCTCTGCCCGGAGTCCAGCCCGATGTGCCTCTGCCCGGAGTCCAGCCCGATGTGCCTCTGCCCGCCCGAGTCCTGCCCGATGTGCCTCTGCCCGGTGTGCCGCTGCCCGGAGTCCTGCCCGGTGTGCCAGTCTTTGATATCCCGCCAGTTACCAGACCCGGGCGGTGGAACATTTTGCCCAGCTAGGACTGTTTGGAGCGTCCTGAGGCCGCTCCTTGAGGGGGGGGTACTGTCAGGAATGGACTGGCCAGCAATAGTGGGACTCAGCTGCCTTATGAGCTGCAGTACCAGGGCTGGCCAGCGGGTGCTCCCAGCAATCAGAGACTCAACCTTGCAGCCAGTCAAACACCTGGAACTAATTATACTGGTGTATTTAAGGGACATTCAGACCTGCAGACTCTGCCTTGGTGTTGTGTTTCTCTTGGGCCCTGTATCCTGTTCCTGCTCTCTGTTCCTGTCTGATTCTCTGCTGACCCTGCTCTGATCCCTGGCTTGTCTGACCATTCTCCTCTGCCTGACCCTCTGTACCACGCTGCCCGCTACCTGCTGAACCTGGCCTGTGACCCCGACCATTCTCCGCTTGCTCCCCCTGTACCTACCTGCCCGACTGATATTGACCCGGCCTGCCTGACGACGCTTGCATTGTATGTACTGTTATCTGTGGGTGGTTGGTTTGGTTCGTTTGCACTGTGTTATGTTTTAGTATTGCACTGCGTTTATGTTTGTATGGTTAGTGTTAATAAATTACATTGTTTATAACATATCTGAAGTGTGATACATAGTGCCTCTACCTCCACATCCCCACCAACACAAAGGTGAATTGTCTCCACTCAGTCTGTGTGCCACACTCGGTGTGATATACCATCTTGCTATACATTTATAGTTCATTTCTACCTCCCGCATATTTATATTTTCATGAATTAATCTATACATTTTCCTCTGTTTTTCTACATCTATTATTACACCAATATCCCTTTCCCATTTTTCTATATATGGTGGCCTTATATCTGTGTTTATTTCAGTGAGAATATTATATATTTTAAAAGTTCCGTGTTTCCCATCCCCCCGTGTATCTAATAACTGCTCAAAGGGGTTCCAATCCTTTCTTGTTCTTAAGGGTTTTGGAAGCTTCCTTACAAAGTGTTTCAATTGAAAATAACGCCACTCATCCATTCTCGTGAAAACTTCTCCCTTTTTCTTTTCCAAATCCTTAAATGAACCCATTTCCTCCCCCACCATTATATCCCTCAATTGTGCATCATCCTTTTTAATCCACTTCCCTCTGATGCCTTCTTTACCCGGGAGAAAAAACTCTGTAGACCCTAACAGTGAGTTAAATTGCCATCCCTTCTGTCTGTACAATATATCCCAAACTCTGAAAACATTTAATGTGAACCAACTTGTGCTCTCTGCTAATCCTCGATATTGTGTGGGCACCCATATGGTCCTACTTAAATTAGTTTTACTTAGTACATTTTCAATTTTAACCCAGCTTTTCCCTTTTGCATTATGCGTCCAGTCAAAAATTCTCTCCAATATTACCGAGTTATAGTATCTTTTAAAATCTGGTAATCCCAGTCCGCCTTTCTCTTTATTTCTACTTAAAATTTCATGACCTATTCTTGGTTTTTTATTAATCCAAAATATATCTTTTTATAATTTTTTTAATTATTTTAAAATATGCTTCTGGGAGTTTAATTGGTATCATTTGAAATGTATATAAGATTTTTGGAACAATCACCATTTTTATCAGATTTATATGACCTATCCGTGATGGGGTTCCCCCTCCTAGTTTCCTTAGTTCATCCTTAGTCTCATTTAACAATGGAATATAGTTTGATTTATATAAGTTTTTGGAGGAGGCAGTTCATTTTATTCCTAGATGTTTTAATTCTATTTCTCTCCAAATGAAGGGAAATTCCTCTTGTATCTAATTTTTCTCTCTATTTGGAAGGTTTATATTTAGGATCTATGTTTTTGTTGGATTAATTTTTAAGTTTGATATCTCCCCATACTCTTTCAGTGATTTCATTAAGTTTGATAAAGTTATCCTAGGGTTTCCCACATAGAACAACATATCATCCGCATAAGCTGCCACCTTATGCTCTGTGTCTCCTATCCATATTCCCCTTATATCCACATTATTCCTTATTGTAGACAATAGAGATTCTAATGACAGAACATACAGTAGTGGAGACAGAGGGCATCCCTGTCTTGTTCCATTTAGCATCACAAAATACTCTGATAGATCTCCATTGACCATGATTGGTGCAGAGGGTATACTGTATAACTTCCTTATCCATTCTCTCATTCTGACTCCCATCCCCAGGACTTCCAGTGTATCCATCATATATCCCCAATCTACCCTATCAAATGCCTTTTCGGCGTCGATCGAGAGCACCACCGCAGGGGTTTTCTCTTTTCTAGTTTTATGGATGAGGAACAAGGATCTCAAACCATTATCTCTACCTTCTCTCCCTGGAACAAAGCCCACTTGATCTATATGTATCCATTCAGGCATTAGGTCTTTCAACCTATTTGCCAGAACTTTTGTGTATAATTTAGTATCTATGTTCAGTAAAGAGATCGATCTATAGCTTGAGCATTGAGTAACATCCTTTCCTTCTTTATGAATGAGAACTACATGTGCTTGTAGGGATTCCCGCTTCATTTCCATCTCTCCCCCCAATGCATTCATATATATCTTTAATTTAGGTACTAAAAGTTCTTTATATTTTTTATAATACCTCACCGTATATTCATCTGGCCCTGGGCTTTTCCCAACCATGGTACCTTTTAATGCTAATTGTATTTCCTCCTGCGTTATTTTTGATTCTAGGGAATTCAATTGTACCTCGCTTATTTTTGGTAATCCTGCATTTTTTAGATATGTCCTTCTTTTTTCCGCTTTTCCTATTACATCCTTATTTATAAAATTATGAGGAATAATATTATACAAATTACTATAATGTTCTTTAAACACCCTAGCAATGTCTTTGGTTGAATGTGCTAATTTTCCTTTGGGGTCTCTTATTTTTTCTATGTAGTTCCTAGATTTGTTTTTTCCTCTGAGCCCTCATTAAATACTTTCCTGGCCTATCTCCCCATCTATACCTCTCACTTATTATTTTATTAAATACTATTCTCTTTTCTTCTTACAGAAAATTATTTAGTCCTTTTTTATTTATTACCCTCTGCATTATCTCTTTTGTTACTCTACTTTTATGCGTCTGTTCAAGTTCAGAGAGTTCCTTGAGGAGCCATTCATTTTTTCTCTTCTTTCCCTTTTCTTCTTTGCTCCGATTGCAATAAGGATTCCTATATTATAAGCCTTATGAGCCTCCCACACTGTTGCTACAGACAAATCTCCGGTATCATTTTCCTAAAAAATTGCTCTATTTCTTTTATAATTCTTTGATCAGTCTCTTGATCCAGGATAAGTGTCTCATTTAATCTCTATACTTTTCCCCCCTTCAACTCCTTTCCCCATATTAATTTCATTGTAACCGGAGCATGGTCTGATATTGACATTACTTCTATTTTTACTTTGACCAGAGACGCTATAAGTCAATGTTCCAACAATATATATTTCCAATCTTGAATACATCTCGTGTGCATGTGAGAAAAACGTATAGTCTCTGTCCTTCATATGCTTAATTCTCCATATATCCACAAGTTGACACTGAAATATCATCTTCTTCAAGGATCTCAGAGACTTACTCTCCTCCCTCTGCACAGGAGACGTCATATCTACAGTATCTGCGGATCCATGCACAGATTGAAATCCCCGCCACAATCAGACCACCTTTTTTAAAATCCATTAATTTTTTCAAGACATTTTTCAAAAATATCTCAGGTTTCTTATTTGGACAATAAATATTTGCTAATGTACAATCTATTTCCTGTAATCTACCCTTTAAACATTTGTTTCTCTCCCCAAATGTGTCTTCTGTAAGAAAACCACTGAAGACAGTCTGTGCTGAAGCTACTTACATAACCTAAATCTCTTCCCGGGGCTATTTAATCCATTGACATTGTAAGCTACAAACTGTATCTCTTCTATTCTTTCCTTACTCTCCTCTCCACCATCCCCTCTCCCCTCCTCTTTTCCATATCGTCTCCAGACTAATGTATCTCCTACTATATCACAGAGTCTTTTTCTCCAGACTAATATATCTCCTACTATATCGCAGAGTCTTAAACTACCTACCCACTCCCCATACCCTCCCCCCCACCCCCCTCCCCTCTCTCCTTCCCAATCCCCCCCCCCCACACAGCAGCCCACCCCTTCCCCCTTTAGGCCTATAATTTGCCTATTAATCATTTGTGGTCCTAATCCCACCCTTGATTCAACTTTAAGGTAGAACTCTGACCATGTACTTCTTCCAGGTTGTTAGACCCATCTCCCTTGTCCCACCTTTCTCTAGTACCCAGGGGAGAGGAGGGGGAGAGAAAGAGAGAGAAAAAAGAAAAAA